ATTTGAGCGTACGGCTCGCGATAGGCCGAGCGGTTTCGGTTTTGGTTTTCTGTGTGGGTTCGGGTGCAAAGCAGTCAACGCAGGCAGTAGGCTTTGTGAGTTACGACGGTCGAGAGTTGTGTATACGGTTCAGTGTGTAACGGAAGAATACCAGAGTCAACGATACGTCAAGCTTTCGTCTATGGTCATCATCGTTATAAACATACATGTGAACCGACTTCCGGCAATGTCCGTGATGTTTACAACCGTTTGCGTTTATCTTCGAGTTTATAAGTTGAATTAATGAAAGATAAAACACGAAGCGAGGTGTGCGTTTTGATAATGCTTAGATGCGCGTTTTTTTCGCACTTCTCCTGATCAATCGAGGCGCGCGATGGTGCGCGAGCGCGATCGCGCACCTTAAAACACAAGGACTGAGATTGCATCTCAGTCTCTCAGAGCTTATAATTTTCAAAAAATTTCTGGGGGGGCATGCCCCCAGACCCCAATAGAAGTCCCCGATGTGTACCAGACTATCAGTCTGTCTCTCTGCTGTCAAAGTGGAGAGTCGTAGTTACCAAGTAGCTACATATAACCACGATGTGGCGTTTCCTTAATTGTGAGCCCCCGGCAAAGAAGCATAAAGAGTCATCTGACGAAAGGAAGGAAAAACAGAAAGATTATGATTATGGACATTGATAATGACTAATAAACACAAGGAAGAACATGATATATGCTGTTTTATTACTGTAATTTGCTCCGAAATTGGCGGGCCTGCAGCTTTTAGGAGCTATAGGCCCTGCAGGCCTACAGCTTTTTCTGCTCAGTGGCAAACACTGACTATGGACTCCCTCATTTTGCTGAGGAGTTGTTTAAATAATAAAATTATGGCAAGGCCACAATTAAAAAAATATTTGTTTGCCCTCACCCGACCCAGGCTGGAAAGTTTGGGTAAATAGCCTATGTACTTCAACTTGTGTGTTGCAAAGGAGCATTTGAATGGCATTGACAGATAAATTTTACTAACAATGGGCAAAAGAGCTGAGGAACATTAAGACTTTGGAAGTAAATACTTTTCATGATTATTTATCATAATTTTATTATTGAAACGTGTTAAGTGCCTGTATCCGGGCAGGTCACCTTGACCAATGAGCAAAGCTGGCCCCACCTCAGGCAGGTCATCTCGACACAGGGGTTGAGTATGCCGGTACGTCTAGTTGATTACGCCGGACCGCCCAGCACTAGTCTGACTTAGTAATAGTAATTCAGAGGTTTGATTCATTTGAATTATTACATAGACCAGATGTGGCAACGTTTGCATAGCAAGACTGCCAAAAGAGTGGACTGCAAGAGTTAGAAACGGTCTTTAGATGAATGGTTGTTTCTTGCACAATTGACAATTGATATTTGCCGTAGGCCTCGGCCTACGTTTACGTAACTACTAACGTTACGTTGTCTTACAATACAAGTACAACTGTCAACTTGTCTAGATAATTTGACAAACTAAAAAAAAATATTTAGTCCATTACTGGCGCAGATGGGGTCGTTGTCGTATCAGGTACTACAGATATGTAACCGAGGTAGTTTTAGGTTGTTTAGTATTAGGCCCTATGTTTATATTTTTATATGAGGTATGTTTAGGGTTAGGGTTAGGGTTAGGGTAGATACAATAATGTAACCCAAACCCAAGATAGCAGTGCTCAATTTTAAGGTTTTTTTTTGGTTGTCCGGAGGACAACCAAGAGAGTAGCATATGGTTGTCCCTCAAGAGTTTTGGTTGTCCGGATATTATTTAAACATTAAGTTTTAACATTAACGTAAAGTTAATGCTACGATAACACTTACGACTAATGCTAATGTTGCGAGACTAGCGTTGACAGAAACACATCGCAGCTATTAGAAAACTTACGATAACAGGAACTTCATCACAAGGCTGCTGATTGGATGAGAATCAATCA